TAAACATTTACATGAATTACATAATGATTATCCACTTGCTCCTGAAAGATTAAAAATAGATAGAGTTGAAAAATTAGTAACTAATTTAAATCATAAGAAAAATTATATCATACACTATGAAAACTTAAAACTGTATGAAAGATTAGGAATAAAATTAACAAAAATTCATAGAGGAATAAAGTTTGAAGAAAGTGCATGGTTAAGTAAATACATTAAACTCAATACAGATCTAAGAACAAAAGCTACAAATGATTTTGAAAAAGACTTTTTCAAACTTATGAACAACTCAGTATTTGGAAATACAATGGAGAACATTGAAAACAGAGTTGATGTGAGATTAGCTTCTAAAAGAGAAGAAGCTATTAAATTAGCATCAAAACCAAATTATGAAAGTAGAACGATATTTGATGAAAATTTAATAGCTATTCATATGAAAAGAACAAAACTAAAATATAATAAGCCTATTTATTTAGGTATGTGTATTTTAGATTTAAGTAAGGCTTTAATGTATGAGTTTCATTATGATTACATAAAAAATAAATATGGAGATAAAGCTAAACTATTATATACAGATACAGATTCATTAATCTATGAAATAAAAACAAAAGACTTTTATGCAGATATTGCAAACGATATTGAAAGTAAATTTGATACAAGTGAATTTAATAAAGATCATCCAGCTGTTCAAAATGGATTTAAAGTAGGTGTAAATAAGAAAGTAATAGGAATGTTTAAAGATGAGTCAGCAGGAAAACAAATTACAGAATTTATAGGACTCAGATCAAAATTGTACTCTTACAAAATAGATGAAGAAGATAAAAAGAGATGTAAAGGAGTAAAGAGAAATGTAGTAAAAAATTATATTACACATGAAGATTATAAAGATTGCCTTATGAATAAGAAAGATCAAATGAGAAAAATGAATGTCATAAGATCTCATTGCCATGATGTTTATACTGAAGAAATAAACAAAATAGCATTGAGCGCAGAAGATGATAAAAGAGTAATTCAAGAAGATGGTATTCACACATTATCATATGGACATTATAAATTAAAATAAACAAGTAACTTTTTTATATCTAAAGAGATCTAAAAAAATCTAACAAAGTAATAAAAATGGACAAACATATCAATGTTGAAGGAATTATATTACCAAATGAGCCCTTAACAAACTTTCAATTAATAAAAGCAGCAAAAAAATTAAAAATTAAAAATTTTAGAGGTGTATTTGAAAGAGATGAATTACCTAAAAATACATAAAACAAAGAATGTGGAATATTAAATACTGGAGATTCAAGTACGAGTGGATTTCATTGGATTTGTTGGTATAAAGATGGAGAAGAAAAATTAAGTTTTGACTCTTATGCACTACCACCTCCAGTTGAACTTGTTCAATATTTACACAGTCCTGTTTATTATAATAGTAAAAGAATTCAGTTTGGAGACACTTCTTTTTGCGGACACTTGTGTCTTTATGTATTAAAAAAATTAAATGAAGGTGTTGATTTTCAAAGTATTGAAAATTCATTATATTAAAATAATATAAATAAAAATAGTAAGTATATAAAAATGAGTATGAATATAGCCGGTAGTACTTCAATGTATGGTTACACAACAGATGGATTAAATATCAACATTAATGTTGGCAATACAGCCACTACTGATGTTGATTTGAATTCACATAAATTGATCAATGTAGCTGATCCTACAGATGCACAAGATGCAGGTTCAAAGAATTATGTAGATAATAATCAAACTTCTAGCAGTGGATGTCTAAAATTAGATGGAACTAATAGTATGAATGCAAATATTAATTTGAATTCACATAAACTGATCAACGTAGCTAATCCTACTAATGCACAGGATGCAGCTACAAAGCATTATGTAGATAATAATCAGATTTCTAGCAGTTCCTATCTAAAAATAGATGGAACTAATAGTATGAGTGCTAATGTAAATTTGAATTCACATAAATTGATTAATGTAGTTGATCCTACTAATGCACAGGATGCAGCTACAAAGAATTATGTAGATCGCTTAATTCCTTATCAACATAAATATAAAGTTTTGATTATAGCTGGTCAATCAAATACATATGCTGGTAGAGAATGGGGTTTATCTCAATCAATAACTAATGTAAATTATATGAACAGACGAATAGTCCAATTTGCGATGGATAATGGACAAAATGATGTGTTACTTCCTTGTTCATTGAGGCTAGATGTAAATGAAACAGATAATAATTGTTGGGCAGGATATGGTTCAATACTTGCTGGGCTTATAATGCAAGATGCTGTAGGTGTGAATACATTAAATATGATAAATCCAGATGAATGTTTAATGATACTTCCATGCATGCTAACTGCTAAAAGTTTCAGTAATGATTATTTTATGCCGTATGGAACTGGTTTTAAAAATTTAACTCGTAGAATCAATTACATTTCATCACATTATAACGCAGAGTTTTGCTGTATGACTTGGAGTCAAGGAGAAGACGATTCTAAAACCGGTTGGTGTAATAACTATGCATATATTCTAATGAATTTTATACAAACCATTAGAGATTATATTGCATACTCATCAAACCAATTTGATACATTGCCAAACTCACAAATAAAAGCAAATAAAATGCTATTCATTACATTTCAAATGCTATCTTCATGGGTTCAACCAAACTCAACTACAGCAACTCAAGTTCAAAATGCATTAGGAAATATTATAAATTATTCTCCATATACAGCTAGTATATCTCTAGATGGTATGCCTCCCAGTCCTAGGAGTGCAAATTTCGATGGAGTACATTATGATTCAAGACAACAAATATTTTTAGCAAACAAATTTTTTGAAGCAACACCAATTGCAATGAATAATATATATGGTGGTGGTTATGGAACACCATATATTTCTGGAGAAGTATTATTAGTTAGACAAGTTGCTGGAAATTTATTTCTTAACAATTATTATAGCGCCTATAGAGTATTTAATTCTACTCCATCTACTGCTCAATTATATAGTTCATTATTTACTAATTGGCAGTATAAAAACAATGATGGCTATTATAAATATAGACTTAAATATAAAATTAATGGTGTATGGAATAGTATTATATTTAAACAAGCATTCCTTCCAATGATGTCTATGGCTTACCAAAATGTTGCACAACTCATATCAACAGATACACCATTTGGATGTACAGAATTAGGACAAGGATTTTGCGGTTTAAATTTGACAACTACAAAAAGCTTGATGAATTCTGGAGCAGTACTTACACTAGATACAAGTGGTGGTTATTGGGCACCTGTATGTCAAAATATGAACTATGTATATAATGGACAACCTGCTATGCCTATATTTGATAATTATATACAAAATAGTACTCTTCCATTTGTAGCAACAGAACTAGAATTATATGCTATAAGAGACTCTATATAATATTAATAGGATAAAATCACGTGACCTGTGACGTCACAGCAAGAAAATCACGTGACATTTTTAAACAAGAAATAAAAAATTAACACTTATTTAAAAAAATTCAATTTTTTCAATTTTTAAAAATTGAAAAAAATTATTTCTTATCTAAATAATTTATATACAATAGGGATAACATTGAACCATATATTAATATTAATATATGGTTGAAAATATGGTTAAAAATGAAAATGAGCTAGAACCGGCATTCTCTAACTACTAACACGTTTAAAACGCAAATCGTCAGGAAACTATTATCTTAGTAATTATCCTACAAATAAGCTATTGGAACTTTATAACAAATAAAATATCATACTGACTATGATGACTATGATTCACCTCATTTTATACGAGTAGCATTATGTGCATTGAAAATGACAATAATAAGTTAATACTAATTTTTTTTAAAGTTTTTCGAAAAAACTGACATTTTTTAAACGCCCTGCTCCCACAAAAGATATAACATTTTAAGAAAAAATAAATTATTCACGTCTTTTCTAATATCCTAATACATAAAAAAAATATTGCGCGCCATCTCATTTCTAACATTTATATATAGATATTTTTTTGTAAAATCCATAATGGTAGTATTTTTTCATACGTCTATCGTATTTGTATAGCATTAAGAAAAGTAGCACCGAATATTATGTTTTATTTTTATGTCTATGTTATGTGTGATTTTTTTTTTTTGATAATTGCCTTACCTTTGGTTAATATAAAGAAGGCCGAAAAATGCCAATATGATGAGTTTTTCGTAAAACTGACATTTTTTAAACGCCCTGCGCCCACACTAGATGAACTTTTTAAGAAAAAAAAAAAATTATTCACGTCACTTCTAATATCCTAATTTATGAAAAGGTTATTGCGCGCGCTCCGATATCGAAAATTTTAAAAGTACGACCCACCCTAATGTGCATATTCATAAACCTTTATACCAGAAGAGTAGCATTGTACAGATGTATCACAAAAAAGTTAACATTATTACAGTCGAAGAAAGAACATGAAATTACATTACAAGTATTTGATCAATATTTATCAATACAATAAAGATCAATACTATAAAACGAAAAAAGTAACATCCTAATTATTTATACTTTATTGTGTACTTTGTACATAAACAAACATGCCCCAGCAAACACAAGACGTCTTTAAGACCGTCTTACTTAGGTCTTTAAATGGTCTTGTCATAGAAAGACGTCTTTAAGACGTTTAATATCCAGTTTTTTAAATCCTTTTTTTGGCGTCTATCTAAATTTTCTTATATACGTCTTAAAGACATCTTTAAAAAGACAAGAAAATATTTGCTTGGTTTCGTATGACGTCTTTAGTGCGTCAATCTTTAACTTTCGGTATAATATTTTAAATAGCCCTCTTTAAAACGTCTTAAAAACGTCTTCAGTAAGACTGCATTAACGTGATAATATTTCGTGTATCATATAAACTTAATAAGTTTTTTTATAAAGTTTAAAAGTTTTCTTTGACTTACGTTTGATTTCTAAACTTGGACTTTTATATCTTTTTTAACATTATTCATGGAAACTGAAAATCGAATGAAGCGTCGTCGCCTGAATAAAAGTATGTTAGATTTTATAATGACGCAAGTGGAATAACAAATTTATCTTTGAGTTATAATTATGAAAATTTGAATGTTTTAATGCACCAACACTATTGAAAACAGAAACATTATCACAAGGTTTGGCAAAATGGTCGTCAAAAAGTAGCATTTCTCAAAGTAATTTAAAGGAACTTTTGAAAATTCTCAGAAGGCATGGTCATTCAGAGTTGCCAAAAGATGGAAGATCCCTTTTAAAATCCTCTAAAGTTTTTACAGTAGATAGGAAGTGGGGCGGAACTTATGCATATTTTACCATTGCTGATGGCTTAAATTATTTTTTGAATTCCAAAAAAGATTCTCAAAATACTGAATTATCTGTTGCTGTTAATGTTAATGGACTACCTCTTTTTAAATCTTCTAATCTTCAACTATGGCCAATACTTGGTTTAATAGAGAACTATATTTTTATAATTGCACTTTTCTGTGGGAATGGTAAACCAACCTGCTTAGATGATTTTCTCTATGATTTTATCAAAGCATTTTTATTTTTATCTAATGAAGGTTTATACTACAATAATAAAAAAAATAATGTTAAACATAAAGCATTCATATGTGATGCACCTTCTCATTGTTTTCTTAAATGTATACAAGGTCATACAGGATATTACTCTTGTGAAAGGTGCCAAATTCAAGGATTATATGAGGATCATAGAGTGGTTTTTATTGATGACAACCTATCAACTCCAAGATCAACTGAGGAGTTTAATACCTTTTTGTACACTAAACATCAGAAATCTCTTTCTCCTTTAGCTCAACTTCAAATATCTTGTGTTTCTGATTTTATTTTAGACTATATGCACATGGTTTGTCTTGGAGTAGTAAGACGCATACTTACCTTTTTAAAGTCAGGTCCTAAACATTGTAGACTTTCAAATACCCAAATAAAAAAAAATATCTGCTAATCTACTAAGCTTACGCGGTATGATGTCATCTGAATTTGCTCAACAACCACGGTCTCTTTTTGAGTTAGATCGTTGGAAAGCAACAGAGTTCAGACAATTTATTTTATACACTGGTCCCTTAGTTTTAAAGGGTGTTGTTAGCAAAGAAATTTAACCACTTTCTAACATTGCATGTTGCGATGGTGATTCTCTTAAACGAAGAAAATCAAGTTAAAAATCATTATCTTGAATTTGCTAAAAACGAAATTACATAGCCTTCCAAACGATCGTTTGGAAGGCTATGTAATTTCGTTGCAAGCACCTTTAAGCATGTGACTTAAAACTATAACAAAAGAAATGTCTAAGTTTCAACAGCGGTTCTCTGTGACAAGACCTTCCCAGATAACATATACACGTTGGCCCGACGTCGGCACAACGCAGGCTTTTACAGCGGCCGATGGTAGTTTAACTATGTCGGGCCAACGTATTTTTGCTCATCAGAATGATGTAGGCCCGATGTTGTTGGGCCGATATCAGTAAAACGACGTTGGTCCGATATCAGTAAAATGACATCGGGCTGAGATCAGTAAAAGGACACTACCCCGCTTTAGTTTTGATCAATAAATGAGATTACAAAAGCGACTATTATTCATAACGATTATAAAATAGAATGGGAAATTATCAAAAAACACATAATAAAACTACAAAATAATTATTTGTTTTTTTATTATTATCTTAACTATTTTTTATACAATTAAATAATTATTAAATAATAAAAATATAAAAAATAGTTAGTAGCAAATATTTCACCAACTTTCGAAACATGTCAGTATACAGTTCGCCAATTATACAATAGATTTAATGTTATTAGTTATAACTAGGGTGTTTCTGCATTGCAGGACATTTGACATCTTTATGCATCTTCATTGTTTAATGAAGCATTATTCTTAATCAGAATATATCTTACTTCCTCTAAAAAGCGAATTAATATATTAGTCTGGAAATAAAACTTTAAGCCAAAATCTTTCACAAATTTATATTTTCTAACATACCCATGAAGTATTATGACAGTTTGAAACACGTTAGTCATAAGATTTCAACTACTCTTTACTAAGATTTATTAAATCCAGATATTTACTTATTTAAACTAAGTGAAACTTAGTATGAGTGATTACAAAATCAACATATAAATCAATTTGCTGCTAATACTGGGAACACTAATATAATAGTATTCCCAGTAGGAAAAAAGAAGTCTTTAAAAGTCTGCTTTACGATGTCTTTCAGACGCCTTTTTTTAGTCGAATATGCAAATCTAAAAGACATCTTTTTTCGACATCAAAAAGGTGTCTTTTTTGTCTTTATCTTATAATGAAAAGACAAAAAAATGCGTCTTTAGGACAAATTTGTTTATCAAATATGGACTTCTAAAAAAGTGTTTTTTTTAGGGTTGGAACGAATTTTTTGTCATACTTATTAGTATACTATAGTATCCTATACACTATAGTATTCCTACTTTTCATATATAAAAAGCTGTTTTTATCAAATGAAAATGATAATAGCTCTTCATACAAAGTATGACAAAAAGCTCTTTCCGATGTCGAGAAAAAAAACCTCTTTTAGATGTCAATATAAAAGAAGAAGTGTTTTCTACATCTTTCATATGTCTAAACATAGGAGAATAATTTATAAATAAAACAGCAGTATTGTTCAACAGAATATTTTTTCATCTTTCTCTTTCTTTTCTGTTTCTCTAGCGAGCTCTGTTTCTTGGCGTTGTTGAATAAAATTAACTATTTCACGTCGAGAAATCCTTTCATACGAGCTGGTTACGACTGCTAAAAAATGAGTGAACATAAAAAACAGTCTATTGCTTGAATGTAATACAAAAAAGCAAATGAAACTTTATTAGCTGAGTGAAACACATTACCGACTATTCTACTATTAATTCAAAAAGGGCTAGTTCTTTTAACCCCCTCATGTTTCAAGCGCGGTCCTTTCTTTTTAAACCCACTAGGTTAGATTGGGACAGGAGTAAACAGTCTAAAAATATATAAAAATGAGTGTGCCAAAGAAATTTACGACCATCAAAATGGCTGTACAACGATGTATTTTATTATGTAATATTTAAACCAAGCTAAACATTTGCACCTTTCAAATTTGCTATGAAAGCCAAGTTATTGAAAGCAGATATTGATATTTTTCTCTCTTTTATGATGTGACTTTTTAACTGAATTTCGCTGAAATTAAGTGTTGTAGACTCGTAACAATTTAAAAATCCGTTATTGACTAAAGACTATCAAAACGAAAAGATAATTCAGCTAATACACCTTGAGAGTTGTTATTTATTTAAACTGGATAAAAGTATTAATCAAAGCTCTATTTTAGCCTGAAACATAATGAAACATAATGACCTCTTTTTTGAAGACGTCTTTTCCACATCTTTACTTAGGCTGATTATTAAAAGGCATAACAAGTCATAAAAAGACGTATTCTTTTTATTAGAACCCGTCTATTTTTACTAGACGGGTTCTAATAAAAATTACCATATTAAATTGTTCCGGAAAACGTAGTGACTCCAGAAAAAAAAGATAAAAATATTGTGCATATATATATATATATATATATATATATATATATATATATATATATATATATATATATATATATATATATATATACATATATATATATATATATATACATATATATATATATATATATATATATATATATATATATATATATATATATATATATATATATATATATATATATATATATATATATATATATATATATATATATATATATAAATTGGCTCCTATCTTTTGCGTTTTAAAGCCATTCCTTCACTACGTCTTGAGTCGAACTGCATCTAATGAAACAAAAGAAAATTTAAATTTATTTATAAATTTCATAAAGTGCCTTGTTAATTTTAACAAGTATAGTTTTTTGCCATAACTATCGAAAATTGGTTAAACAAGCAATCAATATAAAACAGTCATTGCAGCATAATCTTTTTTTATTTAAATTTTTAATACATTTCTTCCTACGCCAGACACTGGCGTAGGAAGGTCTATAAAGTTTTGGAGGCTGAAACAGAAATTAAGGTATCATGCATATATTTAAATTTATAAAAAATGGTATAAAAAATTATGCATTTGGCATTTCTTTAAATTGCATAAAAAAAATGAAAAATGTAAGTTTCATAATTACTATTGACAACTTTTCTTCTCATAAGGGCTGAAAAGGCATGTTTTTCCCCATGTTCCATGAAATTTAATTCACCAGCTAAAACATTAGTTATCAAAGCTGTTAATACTCTCCTTGTCATATCTTTAATATTGGCACCACCAATGACACCAAGATAACTAACCTAAATAAATAAATATATATATATATATATATATATATATAATTATTTTTCGTTGAAACTTGGCAAGTTCATAGAAAATGCATGAGGCAAACTATTTTAATAATAAAAAAAACGGACTCTACATTTCTTCAACTACAAATCCATATGACAACATCAACCAAATTTTCATGCAAAACTCCTAGCAAAATAATCCATAAAAAAGTATTATAGCAATACACGATAGTTATAAAAAAAATCAAGCCTAAATTTTCATCTTTTCAAAAGATGTCAAGGTTTATATATGTGTTTCTAAAAAGAACCACCTCAAAAAACCGTTTGCCAGGGCTACCTGAAAAAGTGGTATACTTGGTATAACACTAATTAAACTAATTGCTTTTTTTTTTTCATTGAAATTTGATATGTGCATAAAAAAATGCATGAAACAAACTATTTAAATGATGAAAAAAAGCGTTTTTTATTATTTAAATACGTTTCTTCGAACACAAATTCATATGAGAACATCAACATAATATTCAGGAGCAAAATATCCCATAAAAAAAGTTAGGAACCACACTTAAAAGTCTTTAAAAAATCAAGATTAGCTTTTCTTCTTTCCAAAAAGTATCTATGTGTATATATGTAGAAAAAAGTATCTATATGTATATATCTAGAAAGAAACTTCAAAATACGTCTGTAAAATAAATTGTATGAAAAACATTTCAAGAAACTTACGATTTGTTTGTGTTGACTATTTTAACTGAAATAAATCTTTTGCTCACTTCTTCGCGTGACACAAACTGTTTCGTTTCTCGTAAACCATTTCTTCGCGTGATACAAACTGTTTCAATAGTATTAAAGAGTAGGTACAATCGGCGGGGCGGGTTGGATCAGCGGAGCGGATCATTTAAACGGTACAAACATTTGATAAAGCAAGTCATACTTCATTGAATGAAAAAAAAATTAAAAAAACGATTCAGATATAGTTTAATTTCATAATATTTAGATGGTAATAATAATATATTACTATCTAGATTATTAATATATCTAAAATATTATTAATATTAGTATATTAATGTTTAGAAGGTATTTGCATATAAATTTTTATTGAACGACAAAAAATATTATATAATTTTATAACACATTATAAAGTTTATGAACTCAAAAAACAACGTGATCCGCTGATTTATATCACGTGATTCGCACAATTATATTTAGTAATCTGCATAATATTTTGCTTATTTGGATCAAATTCTATAAATTTTAATAATTGTTCTACCAAATAACAATGTGATCCGCGAAATTTTATAAAGTGGTCCGCCTAATATTTTAATTGTTTGATTCAAACTTTATAAATTTTAATGATTGTTCTACCAAAAAACAAAGTGATTTGCCATTTATATCAAGTGATCCGCCAATTTATACCAAGTGATCCGCCTAATAATTCGATTGGCATTTCTTTAATATAATTAAAGAAATGCCAATCGAATAATATCACGTTATTTTTTGGTAGAACAATCATTAAGACTTATAGAGTTTGATTCAAACAATTAAAATATTCGGCGGATCACTTAATAAAATTTCGCAGATCACATTGTTATTTGGTAGAACAACTATTAAAATTTATAGAGTTTGATCCAAATAAGCAAAATATTATGCAAATCACTTG